CCTAGGTAAATGGTATCTTATGGCAGTTGCCATTACTCTATTTTGCAAATAAGGAAAGGGGTTCTCAGCGTAGTAACTCACTGAAAAAAATCCATTGTTTGAGGAATTATTTATCTTAACTTAATATTTATCTAATTTTATGTACATTTCTAACACATATATTTAGTTAAGAATGCAATGAAAATTTTGCCAAAATGTACCTCACCTATAACCTACAATGTAAACTACTAATGGCTATATATCTTTTCCAGCAGTATTCTTATAGGCAAAGTAAGCAAACGACATTTAATTATTAGACATCTATTCAAGTTACAAAGCTCTTAAAGTGTTTTTAGCGTTGAAAGTAGCTTATCTATCTTTAAAAAAAATTCTTGGTTTGTCCCTTCTCTCATCCCTAGCCACCTGTGGCAGGTGAGAATGAGAGAACTGGCCCTGCCCCTCATCTGCACACCTGAGAGCAGGCTTCGCACCTTGTCTGGGCAGCACACTAGAGCTGACTCTATTAGCAAGAGCGCAGGTGAGCTGGGCTTGTAGGCATGAGAGCAGGAAAGCTGCCCTTTCCCCTTCCCTAGTATGCCATGGGATGGCAAGGGTAAGGGAAATATGCCCTCTCCCATCCTTTGCCACTTGTGACAGGCAGGAGAACTGACCTGGGGTTGGGGCATGAGACTGGAGGAGCCGGCCCTGCTCCTCACCAAGTGCAGCATTTTGGGAGCGGCCAGCATCTCACTGGGCAAACAATAGAGCTGGCCCAGGTGGTGTGAGTGAGGGTGAGCTGGACCTAGGGTGTAAGAGCAGGAGAACTGGCCCTTGCTGTCTCCTTGCTGTCTGCTACAGTGGGTGAGCTAGCTGGAACAGTTCTGGAGAGCTCACCTGGGAAAGCTGGTCCAACATTTACCCCATCTATGAGCTGATGGAGCACTTGAAGTGGCTGGTCCTGCAGATCCAAAGAGGAGTCCAGTGTTGAGAGGGTAATGGAAGCCAGAGGTCTCAAACATCAATGATTCATTGCAGCAAACACTTATGAATAAAGATGTATGGACTAAAGGGGCTTCCATGCTGAGATTTTTCTTTCTTTTTTTTTTTTTGTTTGTTTGTTTCACTTAAATTTTGTGTTGTGGGGAGGTTTCAATGGCAAGGGAATGGGGGGATGAGTGGAATCAGGATGCATGATGTGAAATCCATAAACAATAAAAGTTAAGCATTCTTAGCATGCATTAATTCTAAGTGCTATATGCATGTTATATGCTAGTTAACATATAAATATATACAAACCCAATTATTGATACCTATGTAACAGTATATTTGTTAATATATAATTCTGTATTTTAATCTCATTTGTCAATATGAGATTTATGCATTTTATGTCATATTTAAAATATAATTTTCTATACCAATATCTTGAAGATTTTCTCTTTTCCTCTGATAATGTCAGTCTTAAATTTAATTCTTAGATCCATTTCAAATTGAGTTTTGTATAGGGTGAGAGATGGGGCTCTTGCTTAGTTCTTCTGTGTTTAGGTGTCTACCTTTCCAGCACAACCCTTTATTGAAGAGGCTTCTCCATTCTTTAGTGCATATTTTGGGACCTAGTCAAGAATTACTTTGGCTGCAGTTGGTTTTCTTCAGGGATCAGTACTGAGCGCCATCCATTTGTGTGTCTGTTATTCAGGCCTCACACTGTGTTGCTGACTCCGATTATATAGTGGAGCTATTTCTTAAATTCCGGTATTGTGATGTGTCTAGCTTTGTTCAGCTCTTCAGAATTTTTTTGTATTTCCACATTAACTGTTAGGATTTCTTTTATAGCTTCATGAAGAAAGCCATTGGCATTTTGACAGGGATTATATTGAATTTGTAAATTGCTTTGGGGAGCTATGGATGTTTTAACTATTAATTCTTTCAATACTTGAACATGGGAAAAATTTCAGTGTTTTTATGTCTTTCATTACTTTTGTTAAGATTTTGTAACATTTATTGTAGAATTCTTTAACTTCCTTGGTTAAATTTGTTTCTGGGCTTTTATTTTATAGCTGTTGTTATGAGCTTGTGCTCCTGGTTTTCTCATCTCTCTGCTGTACTAAAATGTTGCAGAGTCAGCGAGATATAAAGCTCAGTAGCAAAGCATTTTTCTAACGTTAGTGACACCCTAGGTTTGATTCCCAGGACCACCAAAAATAAAACTAAAATGCTACTGAGACATTTTAATTGGTTTTAAGAGAAGATCTTGCTACTATAGCCCTAGACCTCATTGAGTAGCAAGGCTCACCTCCATCTACTGATCACTTGTCTTGACTTCCCAAGCGTTGGAATTACAGGTTTGTGCCATTATGCCTGGTTGCAGTGAGTTTTTTATGTTGGCTTTGTATCCTGCAACATTACTGAATTCTTTTATTAGTTCTAATAATCTCTTGGTGAAGTTTTTTGGGATTTTCTGCAGATAGTATTGGATCATCTACAAATTAGGACAGTTTGACTTCATCCCTTTCTAGTTGTATCTCCTTTATTTTGTTTTCATGCTTAACTGGTTAAAACAAGACTTCTGGCACTGGAAGTCCTGAGAGTAAACACCCTTTTCACGATGCCCACTACGACTGTGGCTAGATTCCATAATTGTGATTGAGTCATTATGAGATGCAGATTCTGTTCGCATTATCTACCAGTCTATGTCTAGTCTCATTCCACATACTGTTTTTCAGATTATTTCAGTTCTAGAATTTCTATTTTTTTATTTTCCTGAGGGTTTTTGTTGTTGTTGTTGTTGTTGTTGGCTTTTACTGAGATTGCTTAGTTTTCTACTCATTGTAAGCATGGTTGTAAGTACTACTTTAAAATCTTTGTCTGCTAATTCAAGCATCTGCCATATTGTAGAGTCCATGTACACCCACTGCACTGTTCCCTCTCTCCAACCCTACTGTAGAGTCCATGTGCATCCGCTGCACTGGTCCCTCTCTCCACCCCCTACTGAAGAGTCCATGTGCATCCGCTGCACTGTTTCCTCTCTCTACCCCCTACTGTAAAGTCCGTGTGCATCCGCTGCACTGTTTCCTCTCTCTACCCCCTACTGTAGAGTCCATGTGCATCCACTGCACTGTTTCCCCCTCCACCCCAAGAATGGAGCACATTTTATATATTTGTTTGTCTATATAGCATATAAAAAAAAATCTATCCTGGGCATGATGAGTATCATGCTGGTAAAACTGTTGTGTTCTTCTCAGTAATGTGATCTTAAGTCTTTATTTCAGCAGACTATCAACGTGATTTGAGGTTGCAGAGGTCTGTGTTTATGCGCACAGCTGGAATTTTGGGTCCACGCTTTCATTCTTAGCGGTTTGGAGTCTGCTGTTCTTAAGATGATTTGAGTTTCAAACAGAGCTTTGAAAATAGTTTACATAAAAAAAAAATTTGGATATCACAGAGTTGGGCATGTAGCCTAGTGGCTTAGCACTTACCTCAAATTTTTGGATATCATTTTTGACTTTTTCTTACAGAATTCACCTTTTATTGTCTGTGTTGCCAGTTGGTCCTTGGTGGTTTTTCTAGTCAGAAAATTTTCAGTTGGAGTTTATCTGTTCTGGGTGCAGTCTTGAGTTTACCTGAAGAATGGAAGCTTATAAATGGCAGCTTTCTCATTACTGCTAACTTTTTCAATAATATGTGTCCCATCCCCACACCCCAGCAAACTCTTGCTTTTGCTCACTTTCCTGTGCCTTATTATAGTTTTAGTTACTGTAGCATTCTGAGTCTGCTAGAGGAATTCTGTCAGTACTCTGACCAGGACCTGAATTCACTTCTTAGCTCATGATGTATCACTTTATTCGTTCACTCGATGGGGTGGGTTAGTGGTCAGAAGTCGCAGTGGGTAGATAAAAAAGAGTCTAAGGATAATGAAAACACTGTTTTTACAGATTATATTAAATACATTTGATTTGTTCTATTGTTTGAGGAGACTTAAGACTTTATTTGAATTTTGAAGACTTTGCCTTGTTTACCTTTTCCTTGTTCTCTTGTGGTGCTGTTTTTCTGTACATTTATTGTTGGAACTTGGAAATTCAAGACTAGTCGGAGTAAAACAGGACGCCTCCATTGCAAAAACATGCAAAGACAACAGCAAAACAAGAAAGCCTTTACTTGCTAACACCTTCTTGTATGTGTATGTGAGGTGCACTCACCTGTGTTAGCACATGTGCAGGCTGGAAGTTCATGTTAGGATATCTTCCTCAGTCTTTTTTCTACCTTACCTTTGAGAGAGATTCTCTCATTGATTTTAGAGCTCACCGTTGGGCTAAGTCACTCAGCAAGCAGGGTCTCAGAATGTGCCATGGTCCACCTGTGTCCCCCCATCGGTGCTGAAGCTACACATGCTGGCCACCATGCCCAGCCTCTTATGTGAGTCCTGGGGATATGAATTTTGGGCCTCATGCATTTACGGCAGCACTTTGCCCACTGAGTCACACTCCTAGCACCTATTCTGCTAGCATTTTTCTCCTTAACATGAAGTTGGTTTTATTTATAAAGCTTAGGTAAATAGCATGTTGTATCTAAAGTCATATGTTGTACATAAAGTCAGATGATTAGTTAAATTATATATCTATAATCACACATTTCTTTGTTTCTCTCTGTCTTCTCCACCCATACACCTGAGGATACTTCCTCAGGAAATTTATACTGTAGAAGTTATTAACTAATTATAGTTATTAAGATTATATTCTTTTTTCTTATTCAACTTACATGGCAGTCTTTTATCCTATTTGTAGCTCAAAATTTCTCTTTTTCTAGCATTTTAATTGAACCTTAATTTCCTTCAAAATCATCATCATCTTTATTTCGTCATAGAATTTTAAGTGAGTGTGATCGTGTGTAGGTTATCCTTCATATACTTACATTGCACAATTAATTTTTGGCTCTAGATTTTAAACTAAGTACTTTAATTTAAAAGGTCAATTGCATGTTTAATTCAAGGCAGACTAAATCTATTTAATAAAATCTGTTCATTGTAGGTCCAGGTCAAGACCTCGTCCACGTTCCCATAGTCGAAGCAGTGAAAGATCCAGCCACAGAAGAACTCGTAGTAGGTCTAGGGACCGAGAACGACGCAAAGCACGGGACAAAGAGAAGAGAGACAAGGAGAAGGATAAAGGCAAGGACAAAGAAGTACATGGCATCAAACGGGGGTGAGTGATAAGAGCTAATGGAGTGAAGATGAGTAATGCCTCAGCAGTGTGCAAACTAAACTTTCTCTTTGAGCTGCTTCCTGCTCCTGCCCTTGTGGGCAAATTCCTTTAAGACGAAAAGAAGGTAAGGGCTTGCCAGTCAGTATCTTGCATGGTTCTTGATGTTTTTATTCTCTAAAAATTTATTAAGTTAATTTTAATAACAACATGTAATTTTTCTTACATTTTTTCTGTTCTTTTTGCCTCTACCTAACTTTTTAAAAAAAGATTTTTTTAAAAAAAATAAATTATGTATATGTATTGATATGGGGTTGAGCATATCTTAGTAGAGTTTTTATTGCTGTGAAGAGACACCATGGCCACAGTAACTCTTTCAAAGAAAAAATTTAATTGAGGTGGTGGTTTGTAGTTTCAGAGGTTCAGTCCATTTTCATCATGACTGGGAGCATGGTGGCATGCAGGCAGACATGATATTGGAGGAGTAACTGAGAGTCCTACATCTTGCAGGCAAAAGAAAGTCATCTGTGACACTGAGCATAGGCCTCAAAGCCCACCCCCATAGTGACACGCTTTCTCAACAAGGCCATCCCTACAAAGCCTCACCTCCTAATAGTGTCGCTCCCTATGAGATTGTGGGTGCCAGTTACATTCAAACTGCGACAGTCCACGTGTTCTGGTTCCTGAGGAGGCCAGAAAGGGTGTGAGGGGAGCATGTAATACTCTGTAGCTAGAATTACTGGCAACTGGGACCTGGGAACTGAACTCAGGTCATCTCCTAGACTTTCAAGTTCTCTTAACTCCTGAGCTGTGCTCCGCACCTTCTGTTCTCAGCGTTTATGTCACATCTACAGCGATAATATGAAGCCATGTCTGCTGCTGGATTTTATTTACTTTTTGAAATGTTAATCTTGTGGCAAAAGTTTAAAAGATGTAATTTTTTCGTGACCATTCTACAGCTATCCTAGAAAAATTCAAATTCTAGTTTTAGAACATAATAAGAAAAGAGATAGGGATTAGATATTACATAATTTCTCTTGTCATTGCTATGTCAAAATAGCTGAGAAGAGCAACTTTAGAAAGGAAGATTCTTTTTGCTCACAGTTAAGTGTCAGGCCATCATTGTGGAGGAGGTCATGGTGTCAGAAACTCGAGACAGCTGGTCACAAAGCCTTTGTAGTAAGGGTGCAAATAGAGGTGAATGCCGATCCTCAGCTCAGTTTCTCCTGTTTCTTCTGTCTGGGACTGCAGACCTTGGAATGGTGCCGCCCACCTTAAGGGTAGGTCTTCTCACCTCAGTTAACCCAGGCTATAAGGTCTTTCATCAGCAGGCTTAAAAGTTGTCTCCTAAGTGATTCTAGATTCTGCTAAGTTGGCAATTCGCATTAACATCACATAGTAGGTATCCAGCTACATGCGTAGAAAGGCTGGATTAAACAGATGAGACCCAGGGAAGGTATGGAGGTAATTTCTTGGTAAAGGGAGAGAGTAAGTATAATGGCAGATTTGAAGGGTATGGATGCAGATAAGTTCCAAAGACTGGGAAATACGAATTAAGATGATGAAAATGTGCCAGTCAGAGAATTCTTATTCCTTAGTTCTCTGTTAGTTCTTTTTTTTCCCTTTCTGTTTAGTTACATAACCATAGGGAGCATGAGCATGTTTTTTTCTCTGAATAGTACATATTAACTTTCCATTTCATTAAGTTTTTCTTTTTAAATAATTTCTCAGTATCAGAAATTTCTTTAAGCAGTGACATTTTCTATCTTATTTGATACCTTCATTAAATAGGTGCCTTTATTTTGCTTTACTATTTTCTATTTGTGTTGTTATTGGTATTTCAAAATATCTGAGAAAATTAATTTGAAGGAGAAAAAGGTGGGTTTTTTGGCGCATAGTTTCAGAGGTTTCAACCCATAGTTCCCTGATCTGTTGCTCTTTAGGCCTATGGGAAGGCTCAAACATGGTACAAGGGTATGGTAGAGGATCTCTTGGCATCCAGGAAGCAAAGGCTGAGAGAAAAAGGGATAGAGGAAGGAAGGAAGGAAGGGGTCAGGACTTCCTTCCATGCATGCCTCCACTGACTTCCCCCCATATGAATCATACCTCCTGCTTAGCCCATTCAGTAGGAACTCATCAGTGGATTAGACCATTGTCAGTTAATTTCTAATTCAAACTGACCGTGTCTTCTGTAACTGCAGACTGTCTTCTCTTTTGTGGTATCTCATGATTACTAATAATGAGAATTAGAAGTTGAGATCAAGTGACATGCTATTCTTAAACTACCCTAAAAGTTTCTAAAGAGAAGCAAAAGAATCTTCTGTGTTTGGGGGGCAAGTTGTGTTTTGTTTTATATTGTCATTAGTAAAAGATGCTTTTCTTTCTCTCCATTTTTTTTCTGTTTCCCACCTCATCATTTGATATGTTTATGTAGCTTTATACTTAATTATATTTACAAGTAATTTCTACAGCATCATTAAATTTATTACTACTGGTTCATTTGCTGTCTTTTTCCAGATAACTTTTTATAATGTATAGGTGAAGAGAAGGGAAAAAAAGAACCCAAACCATTACAATTAGGGTGGATGTATTAGTCCATTCTGGATATTCAGTCCAATCACAAGTGTTTGAACTTATGCCAAGTAATCTAGGGACTTCTTCATATACAAAAAATAACCTACACATTTCTTCAGGTATAAGAACCTTTGCCTTTTCAATACAATTAAGATATCTGTGATATACTTACTATGGAATTTAAAGCACAAAGCAAAATAAAGTGTATCAGTGGCAAAACAAGGTACACTCTTACCATTAGAGTCATAAGTCTATTGACTGGTAATAATAAAAACTAGAGAGAAGGGAATGTATAACTGGGAGTTAACTTTTTCATTAAAGAGCCTTTTATTTTTAAGATAAAATAAAATGATTCTAAAAAAATTAGTTTCAAATTGCAAATGTTTATAGATTTGTAAGCCTGGAATATTTGAATGATTATTATATGAATTTCCTGTATGTTATAAGTTGACTTACTTGTTGTGTTAGCCTGCTTTGCTTATATGTAGATTTAAGGAACCTGATAGGAACTTGAGATTTAAGGAACCTAATAGGAACTTGAGGGGTATTAATTTATAGGGTCTAAAGAATAGTTGCCTTTTCTTCTAATATAATATGAATGATTAATATGAGAAAGACACTGATCTTATCCAGGATTTTATTAAGATTTAAAAACATTAACTTTAAAAAATTCACATGGTATAACATTTGCTTTGTAAGAATAATTTATCTTTTAAACATTGGTACAAGTTTTTCTTGTTTCTGTTCATATTTCTCTTAAATTTTAAGGACTTTATTATATCTTATTTGTAGACAATTGTTCCTAGAAGATGAAATTTCTGTAACATGAAAACATTTTATTTAATATTATTATTTTTAAAAATATTTATTTATTTATTATATACACATAATTCTGCTGTGTGTATGCCTGAAGGCCAGAAGAGGGTACTAGACCTCATTACAGATGGTTGTGGGCCACCATGTGATTGCTGGGAATTGAACTCAGTACCTTTGGAAGAGCAGGCAATGCTCTTAACCACTGAGCCATCTCTCCAGCCCCATTTAATATTATTATTGTATTGAAATAAGGTATAACATTATTTTGTTAAACTGCTTTTTGAGAACTTCATACATGAACACATCTAAATCTCTCCCTGTAACTCTCTCTCACATTGATGACTGCTTCCTTAACTATTGTTATTAAATTGTATGTATGTACATTTTGAGTCCCGTTAGTATTACTTGTGTGTACATGTGTCCAGGACTGAATATTTGGAATTGGACAACCTCTGTAGTAGCTTATCCCTGGAAAAAATTGATTTTTCCTCTCTTAGCAGCCCTTGATTGTAATTCTTCATCAAGGTTGAAATCTTGTGGATTTTCCCTTATCCATGTAGGCATGTTATGTTGTTATTATGCAAACCTTGTATGGGCAGCCATATTGTTGAGGTTCTTTTGTTCAGCTTCCCTCTCATATGTGGAAGACATCTCAAAGCAGGGCTCCACTTTGGCTCTTACAGTCCTTCCCAGCACTCTTTCACAATATTCTGTGAGGCTCAGGTGGAATAATTGAGTTGCAGATGTATCATTTGGGGTTTGACACTTTATAATCACTTACCCTCTGAATTTTGGCTACTTGTGGATCTCTGTAGTGGTCTCCGTATAGGGGTGAGGGCCACACTTAACTGTAGGTATATTTGGAATAAAATTAGAAATTATATTAGTTAAGGAAAATGGCAGTGATAGATTCTCTTCTGAGGTCTACGATCTGGCCACTGTTAGTTGACTAGGTTTAGAGTACCATATATGTATTTCTCCCGATTGAACAAGACTGGAGTCCAGTTAGATCCTTGTTGGTCACCCCCAAGATCAAAGTACCATTATTGATTCACTAGGGGTATCTATATCTCAAATTCTTACTGAGAGACAATACTCAGAAATTTGTAATATCACAGGGTCTCATATGCAGCTTGGTCTGATGATGCTGAACTTATGCATCCCAGCGTCACTCATGGATTAGTATTTTAAGTTTCTGTACCAACATCCTCATCCATGTGCAATAATATATAGTTAACTGCTTTAGAACATCTTTCAGAGCATTTTAGAAAATTGTGTATGAATAAGTAAATAGCCACCATTCTCCTGTCCTGAAATCATAGTGCCATCTTCAAGAACAGAATATAAATGGACTTAATTTAAATCCATCGTCAATCATTATTTAAATCACTATGAAGAAAAAGAAGAATTGCTTTTGTTGTGGTTGTTGAATACTGATGTATTTTCAATGTCTCATCTCCCAGCCCACCAAAGTCCTGTGTTATATATTTGGAGATTTGGTACAGTATTGTTAGGACAAGAGATCTTTTAAAAGGTAGCTAAGCCAAGAAAACTTTGCTTTATTAAGTAAATTAATATTGTTATAGCAGAGTTGGATTTGTTACCGAAGTAGT